GAAACCCTATGTATTATTGCCAGAGAACGGCTAAGATTTTGTCCACAAACCTTTTTAAAATAGGAATACTGCTCAATCTAAAGTAACTTTTGGAAATATAACTAACAGTAGGAATAGTATAAAGTACATTGTAATGATCTTCCAATTCAATTCTATTCCCATGTCAATATGGCCATTAGTGAGTAAGGGTCTGTCCTCACCGACTGCATTTTTCCACTTTACCACACGGGTTTACCGTTGTTTTCTATGTGAACACATGGTTGATGGACATGCTTGACTTTTAAGCTTGAGTCTTTAGAAAGGCCATGTATGTGAGCAACGTATTTTTTAGACTGTACAGTCATAACTTATTTTCAGAGCAGTGGGCCAATCAGAAGTAATCATAGGTGGGACAATCGTTGCCAGTTTCTGTTTGCACACACTGTGTGGTGGTTTCCAGTCAGGTATGTAGGCATGCGTGCAGAGGGTGAACTGTGAACCATAACATGCATCACAAACACACATGAACGGCAATCATTTTTCAAAGTCTGTTTTCTTTTTTTTCAGTCAATGTCACCTCGTCAAGTCTTTAAATGACACTGTAATGTAAATGCTAGTAAACCTTGTGTTTAATAAAATAAAAAATAAAAAAATAAACATGCGTTTGAAGGCTTCGGCTATTCTCCGGCACTTGCCGACTGTTTGCAAATTCAAGACCATGGTGTTTCCGAGCGACCAATCCGTTTCTGATTAATAATAGCCTATGCGTAGCCGAGTTCAAGTTCAAGTTGCTTTACTGGCATGACATTCAGTACAGTATTGCCAAAGCACTTCAAATATGAAATATATTAAAACAATTGAAAAATAATAATAATGATAATAATACAGATAAGGTATAATGACAAAAAACAATACATTTGATATATATAACAACAACAATAATAATAATAAAAAGTTTAAATTATTTAAATAAGATACATGAACTTACATTAACCATTTCTTATGGTGTGTAGGGTGTATACATATTTTGCAGCTAGTCTAAATGTCAATTCGTCCTCTCTCTCAAGTTCAAGTTGTTTTATTGGCATGACATTCAGTGCAGTATTGAAAAAGCACATCAAATATTCTGTTTATTAAGGAGGTTCCAGTTGTCCCAGAAATTGTTGGAGTCAACAGATTCTTCAATTGTTTTGAGCTGTTTTTGGGTGTACTCTACTTTCTAATTGTGTTTTTATATTTTATTAAGCTCCTCGTAGTACCGAAGATGTAAATCTGTATTTTCTGGTTGCCTGTGTTTTGATTTGCTAGTTGTCTTAATTTTTTTCTTATTGTTTTAACCATGACTGAAGTTAAGGTTTTTTTCTTCTTCTTCTTTTCAGCAGCAGCAAAAGCCCCTACCCCTCCACAATGGAGGCGGATATGGCTGAGGTTGCCCGTCGCCTCAGCCAGCGGTGCGAGCTGCATCCCGGGACCCAGATGGAATTTCGCAGCTTCTGCGTGGCCACACTAGTGTGGCCACACCATCTGGGTCCTGGAAGCATTAGGGAGCTTAAGGTAAGGCCAGCGCCAACACCCTTGAGTCGCGTTCAAAACACTGACTTGTTTGCTTGTTGAGCCCTGTAACAGGCCTCATATCTGTTCTTGCGCTCTACACGCACAGGTGCGGGAGTGGCTGGGCTGGCGGCCAGAGGGAGACGCTGTCATTCTGACGCTTCCCAGCAAAGCCGTGAGCCTGAGGCGGAAAGAGGAAGAGGCAAGTTGATCCTAACCAAAGATAATTACCATAAAACAAAAACAAAAAATGAATGACTAAAACTGTCTGGTGAGAAATGCCAATGTAGAACATTTTAATTTGTGATTAAACTGATGAGCGCGTATGTTGTAAAGTGTAACATGTCTCGTGTGTAACCTATGCACCTCTTTCTTTTGCCGCAGTGGCTGGAGTGCTATTTCAGGCACGTCCAGCCACTCTGCCTTAAGGCTCAGGCTTCGGGAACGGATGACAGAGGATGCTTCTTCCTTGGAAGCGTCAGGACTCCCCCTCACTAACCCCACCGCAGACATCCAGCACCTGAAAGCAAAGCAAGTGTTCTTATCAGCTATTAATGTTTTTAGCCTGTTATTTTGTGTGTAAATTTCCACCCATGCACTTTTCAGGAATTACATATACATGCATACATACATACATACATATGTATCGGAACTACTTTCACTCAACAACACCGAGACTACACCAATCGCTGCTTTCCTCCACTTTATTCAGTCCTGGAGAAGACAATTAAACAAAAACATGTTGTCTTCTGCCTGTACTGCACATCCGACCCCCTCATCAATACACAGCATCATTGTCTGGTCGAATTAATTATTTTCTTAATAATATATGTAATTACATTTGATACATTTTACAATTTATACACAATTACACACAATCTCTTATAATTTTAAACTTTTAGAGATGAGAGATTTAAAATGTACAGGTTTAAAATGTTAAAATTTACAGTTACAACAAAATGAACCTATTTCTTTATCATTAGAAACTAAACTTAACTACATACAAAAATATATGTGTGAAAATTACACACAACAGAGCCACCTGGTGGACAACTAAAAATGTGCGTTGAGTTAAACAAAATGCAAACATAACAAAAAGACAGTAAACCGTACCTGGAGAAGACAATTAAACACAAACATGTTGTCTTCTGCCTGTACTGCACATCCGACCCCTATTTACACAAAATAACAGTTTTCGCACTGAGAAACAAAGCAACATGAAGACAAAATGAATAGAGGTAAAGTTGGTTTTATATTCGCACATTCGTTTATTTAGAAGTCTCTATATTGTTTACCATGTTACTTTGAATATTGGAGTGGAATTAGCATGCCAGTATGACTTGAAAACAACATTAACACTGTTTATTTGACTGTGAACAATGTTGTACTTTGATAGTCATTGGCTGCTTATATGATTTCACTATTTAGATTTTGCAAATAATACTTTTTATGAAATTATATATAGAGGTAAAGTTGGTTTTATATTCGCACATTCGTTCATTTAGAAGTCTCTATATTGTTTACCATGTTACTTTGAATATTCGATTGGAATTAGCATGCAAGTGTGACTTGAAAACAACATTAACACTGTTTATTTGACTGTAAACAATGTTGTACTTTGATAGTCATTGGCTGCTAATATGATTTCACTACTTTTCCAAATAAAGAGTTTGCAAATAATACTTTTATGAAATTATATTAATAAGGAAAAAGTCTGAATGTGCGAATATAAAACCAACTTTACCTCTATAAATTATATTATTAAGGGGAAAGTCTGAATGTGTAAATATAAAACCAACTTTACCTCTATACAAAATGGCGATCTGCCATGCGGTTAGCACTTTTGTTAATCTCTAGAAAATATAGTATGTATGTAATATAATACATCATATAATATATAATATGTAATATAGTTTTCATAAAATGACAAAACACTTGCTTTAAAACGATAAAAATATGGAATACACTCAGGAGCAAAGCTCTGCACAACCTACCCTCATCAATACACAGCAGCATAGTGAGGGGGGCAGGGGAAAAGACGAACTACGGCAACACAAGAGGTACAAAAAGGGGCGATGTGCAGGTTAAACATTGCCATGGTAAATAAATGAAAATTACTCTAAAATGTGTTCTCAAAATGATAAAATTCACAAATATAAAAATAAAATCTTTAAATAAATAAAAATCACAATATAATTTGAAAATGTTATAATTTTAACAGAGTGCAATTGTAACTCTGTTACACATACATACTTACTAGAGCTGCACGATTCTGGCTAAAATGAGAATCACAAATTTTTTGCTTAAAATAAAGATCATGATTTTCTCACGATTCTGTAGATGTAAAATAAAGGTATGGTAAAAACAAACAATGACAATATTAATTCGAATAGCTTGAATTGGATTGAAGTGTTTGATTTTCTTCAGAGTTACTCTCAAGTGTTTTGAAAAACAAATGTGCTTAATTGACCAATTCACAATCCATAGTTAACCAATCAGGGCCTATACCTGCACAAAAAAAGCACCAAAAGTACAGCGTCCGTTACGACCTGAGTGACTCTCACACACAGACACACCAGCGACACACACGCAACACATGGCTGCAATAAAGGTAAATTTTATGATTTGTGTTATCAACACTTCTTATATATTCGAATGTTTGGGTAACTTGTGTATTGTTTGCGTCTATATTGTAACCTAATCGTTGCGTTATTTGATGCCTCGAGCGCTTTTCATAATGAATCTCGAAGCTGCTTTGCAGAAAGTGTAGCTTGATGTATCAGAGTGACGCCAATGTTTGTGATCATATTTTAATTGGGGCTGTAACATAAACGTTAGATTCTTAAGACTCTGGGAATTTTAGTGCAGAGCTGGAGTTCCCAGGGGCAACGTTAACTGCATTTGCGTATATTCACGTACAGCCTTATCTATAAACTTTTCCAAATAATGTCAGAATTAATGTCATTTCCACGCTGCATATATTTAACCTGGATGTTTCAATCATTCTTGTTATGTGCAGCCAAAAAGGTATTGACTTTGATCCACGCAAAATAGAAATTTTGAAAAATAATGCATGAAACAAGTTAACTTAAGTCATTGCTTAAATGTGAAGATGCGTGTATTTTTTAAAATCCACCCCACAAACACACCTACATGTGCCTGAGGTCAGAGGAAGTGACAGGGGGATTTGACTGTAAGTTTGTTCGAATATTTTAATTCATTCATTCATTTTCTTTTCGGCTTAGTCCCTTTATTAAGTCCCGGGGTCGCCACAGCGGAATGAACCGCCACTTATCCAGCACATGCTTTACGCACCGAATGCCCTTCCCGCTGCAACCCATCTATGGCAAACATCCATACAAATTCATTCACAACAGACAATTTCAGTCTACCCAATTCACCTGTACCACTTGTGTTAGGACTGTGGGGGAAAACAGAGGAAACCCACACGAATGTGGGGAAAACATGCAAACTCCACACAGAAACGGCAACTGACCCAGCCGAGGCTCGAACCAGCGACCTTCTTGCTGTGAGGTTACAGTGCTGTGCCACCGAATCACCCGTAAAAGAATAATGTGCTGTTTTTAAAATTTTACAAGCCCTGGTAGCCATTTGGCATGCAAATTAGGGGGAAGACAGATTTTTAACCTACTTCAAAATATCTTTGTTTTTGTACAAACATTGATTGCTCAAATGCGCGTGTTCTTCTCAATATTTTTCAGAAAGGAAAGGCTCCCGATCACAATAATGCTAAAGAGATACCACACACCACCCATTTGCAAGATGAAAATGTGCCAGAGCTCAAAAGAAGAAGATTAAGTTTTTTTTTTTTGTTTTTTTTCCACGAATATCTTGATTCGTTCATTTTCTTTGAAAAAACAGCAGCACGAGAAAGGAGGAAGTCAGAGTGTGGGAACACTGGACCTACGCTTTCAAGACTTATTTGACATGGGTCTAGTGGATTCGAACACCTTGGATGTAATGTAAATGTGTGGTGGGAGGTACATTTATGCGGTTGTTGAAAATTTGTTTGTATTTATGTTCTTCACAGAAAAGAAGTCAAAGCCAGTGAATTTCAGGTTGAAAAACAGTACATGGTTTCATTTTTCTTTTGAAAAAAACTGAAAACGGGTCTCACAGACCCGGACACCATACAAGGGTTAATAATCCGGGGTCGCCACCGTGGAATGAACCGCCAACTTGTCCAGCACATGTTACATGCAGCATATGCTTCACGTATTCATTCTTCAAAAGAATAATGTGTTTTAAATTGGGGGTACATACTTCAGAATATCTAATAGTTTGTTCCTGTACAAACATTGATTGCTCAAATGTGAAGATGCGTGTGCTCTTCTCAATATTTTTCAGGACAGACAGTCTGAGCATGTTGGGGATGTTACTGAGAGGAGGGAAAACAGCCCAAAGCCACATACAATTGTGAGCTAACGGACAGCGACTGAAAGAGAGATAGAGATTGTAAGTTTATTAAAATTTATTCATTCATTTTCTGTTCGGCTCAGTCCCTTTATTAATCCGGCATCGCCACAGCGGAATAAATCAGCAACATATCAAGCATCCTCGTTTTTTTTTTTTTTGTTCCTGTAAAAACATTGATTGCTCAAATGTGAAGATGCGTGTGCTCTTCTCAATAATTTTCAGAAAAGCCAGTCTTCCCGATGTTGATTCTGTGAAGATGCACGTGTCATTCTGAATATTTTTCAAAAAACACAGTATTCTCATGTCGTTGATGTTACTGAGGAGCCACCACAGCCCAAACCCCCTTACAAATGTGAGCGAGCATATAGCATCTGACAGAGAGATTGTAAGTTTATTAAAATATATTCATTTATATTATTTTTCGATTCAGTCCCTTTAATAATCCGGGGTCGCCACAGTGGAATGAACCGCAAATTATGAAGCATCCTCATTTTTATTTCTGTACAAACAATTATTGAAATTATTGCTCAAATGTGGTGATGCATGTGCATGATGCGTGTGTTCTTCTTGTGTCTTCCGATGACAGCGATGTGACAGTAACGCGAGAACCCACTCCACAAAGAGACCTACGTATTCCTGAGCTGAAAAGAACTGAAAGTGTGATCGTGAGTTTCTTTGAATATTTTAGCACATTTAATTAAACGCACATCTTTGGAGACTTGATATGAAAAAAAAGTGTCTTAATTTTAAATAGTGACTTTGTATAGCTACAGTCAGCATACACCAGTCCCGGCCGCGTTTTTAAATTGTCAAAGGCAATCCTGTTGACTAGAACATGTCCACTGCACTTTGTCGGCTAAGGGCTCCATTTTGACAGTCCATGCGCAGGGCTCAAACGCATTCAGGGTGTGTTAGAATCCACTTTGGCTAATATAAGGGCGGAAAATTTCGCTTTGGGCCGTGCCGCATGATCTAAAAGGGTTGAGCTTATTTTCTTAATGAGTTATAGGTGTGTTCAGAGTCTCACCTCCCATTCCCTTTAAGAGTCAGTTGCGTCGCGCCATGGTGCATATGAGCGCAAATGCATTTGCTATTTAAACAGCTTGGCGCAAATCGTCAAAAAGCACCTCTTGCGCCAAGCGGAAACTAGCAAACAACTATTGCGTCGTGCCTTGCACCACATTGCACCTGGTGTATGATAGGGCTCTTAATGTGTTGCAAATTAAAAGTGGCATCGTTTCTATAGTTTTGACACTGAAACTTTCACTTTAGACAGACCTTTATAATTTTAGGATGTTGTTGGTCATGTCACTTCTGGTCAAAATATTTAACTTGTGCCTTTTATTCATTCATAGCTTAGCAAGAAAATCCTTGGATATGGTACAGAGGAGTCTAACACAAGTTCAGAGATGAGTGAGGATGACGGTAACCGTTCTGGCCAGGATGTCAGTAGCAAGAAGGAAAAGGTAAAGTCAGCAGCAAAGTCTCCACTCCATCCATGTTTGATAGTGCCATTGCGTATTTCGGTTTAAATCGCCTCATGAAAAAAATATTACATGTGTAAGCATAATAGCAGCCATGCACGCGTGCTAAACAACTCTTTGGGTTGTTCGTAATGTAGCAGCACCCAAACAGCAGCTGGGGAGACTTGCGCCAGTCACTAAATCCAGCATAGGTGCTCTCAACCCTCCGCCACATTCTGTCTTTATGTTATGCACTGTGTTTTTCATTAAGTTAACTGTGCTCCATGTGCTCGGGTGTTGTATCAAATCTGACCCCGAGGACAAATCTGACACATAGCAGCTCGCAGCTATCAACTACAAATTGTAGACGTGTTGCTGTAATACATGGAGACTAATTGCAAGGATTTTATCATTTTTTTTATTATTATTACTGGGTGACGTGCATGTAAACATGACAGATTTTCAGCCATGAACTAAACTTAAGCAAAAAATGTGTGTACAACTGTAAAACAATGAATCAAACTGAAGACCATATATTAATTACTTTTGTTTTGAGTCACTTTTTCTCTAATTGCATTTTTATCCTTTTCAGGACCCAGACAAAAGTGTTCCCCGGAATAAAATTCAGGCAATGGAGGAAATCCTGATGGACTCCTTTTTTTTTTTTTTTTCCCTCCTCTCTTTGCGTCTTTGTTGACGACAACGTGTGCATGGCAAGCTGTTTTGGCATTTATCTATAACCTATACACGTGTCTATTTTCATGTTACAAGTGCTTAATTTTTAGGTACAAGTGTTTAATCTTTGTTGAAATCTAATTCTACATGCAAAAACAAAACTTTAACGTTGAAATAAACGTTTAAGACAATTCTTTGTTGTATTGAGTTTTTACATTCTGGAAAATGTCGCTATGTCTCCATCAATTGTTATGCGCATCTCAGAATATAAATTTAAAAAAAAAATGCTTGATGGAAAGCCAAGATGCTCATACGTTGTAAAAATGCATGCACAAGTAAAAAAAAAAAATAAAAAATTTATATATATATATATATATATATATATATATATATATATATAAGTGTCAATGTCACTGCAGTGACATGCAGCGCGACACTGAGTGACACAGGTTACTACACATGCCACTAGCGAGTGACACATGACAGTGGAAAACCGGACGTGCCACCGGAAGTGTCACTACACTCAGTGGCATGTGCCAGTGTCATCTGTACGTCAGATGTCGTGTCACTCCATGTTAAAACTGCTACTGTGAATCCGCGTTCAAGCGCACACAATAAGCTAAAACTCGCCCCAAGCACCGGCAAAAACAAATAACAATGAATGTGTCGAGGAAAGAGTAAAGACATATCTTAATTATTTATTAATAAACTTATTCTGAGTCAGTGTCGCAAAGATCCTGACTGACAATCTCCTCTTGGACTCGCCTTTAGAAATTCATCTTTACATGAAGGAGTTTTTTTGTTTTATTTCGTCAAGTAATAATTTAAAGCTTTCTATAAATATATTTATTATGTCTGTGAGGCATATACATTTTGCTTCATTTTGTTAAGCGCTCCTGTTCAAAAACCAGACGACAGAAAGCGCATAATTTTGGTTTTCTTTATTTTATAAAAACGCTGTAACGTTTTTTGATGTATTACTCGTACTTTGTGAGCAAAAATGACGGATAACTTTAAATTGCTCCCACTGAAAAAATGCAAGTGATTGCTCTGGCTCCTCGATGTCCTGCAAGCTTTTTATAAGCAAACTATGCGCCTAATAGCACACATTCTTTAACGTTTAAGCTACCATTGTTTTATACTTGAACTGTTTTATATCTTTTATTTTAGGCAAGTCGTGATGATCTGAGAAGGCAAACTGATCAAACAGACAATGATGGTCTTCCGCTGAGCGCTGTTCGTTAAAAAAAACTTATTTTTAACGAATAAAAAATGCTCCAAACGTTTTTCTAAATAAGCTGAATAAAAAAACGAAACTAAATATAAACACTTTGACATTAGGCTACATACAAAACTGAACTATTTCATAGCTGAAACACTATTGTTTAAGGAGAAGGGGGAAATATATTTTTGTCCCGTCTATTAATTGCTTCACCGTTATTTCGAGAATAAACCCAGCGTAAATACGCAGATGTCATTCCCAAAACATATCAGCGTATATGTGCCGAAAACGAAAGTTTCATACAAATTCTGAATGGATTATAGCCTGAAAAATGCAAAGCACGCTCCTCTTATTATCACTAAAAAGCGTCACTAATCTTAGTTCATAGAGATCTCAAAGATCCGTTATAATTTATAAAGCTCTCTAAATTACACAATTAATCTTTTATTTACATGGCGTCTACACTCAAAAGATGATTCACGAGCACACAAAATGGCACTTAATAAAACCAATCCGGCGCTTTCAGCAGTGAGTGAATTCTGTGAATCTAGAGAAATGACAGATCAATATCCGTGAACCTGATTTTTTTTTTTCCCCGCAGCCACAGTACGCCGGAAATCCGGCGTGGTGCCGGAACGCTATCACCCCTGCTAATGTAAACATAAAAAAACTTTAAACACTTGCACTGCACTAATGTAAATATGCAGCTTTTATGGTGTAGAACTATGTGATGGTTACCTTCATCAAATGTACCACCTCTGCCTTCTAGCAAAAATCAGGCAGGCAACTTCTGTCAGACCCCCGGTGATGCTTAATTCAAAATGCATTTGTTTCAAGTAGCAAAAATGTAACGAAGGGGATACCACCTCCAACTAATTTTTAACAAGGAAAACACAAAACTATGTAAATATAAGTAACTAGACATTTGCACGGCAGTTATGTAAAAAAATTAACATTAAGACATTTCCGCTGCAGCATAAAGAATTTTTTTTTTGACACGTGTAAAACTGACACAATTTTAAACAAAGTTGTGTAAGAGTTTTGTTCAAATCTGTAGTCATCTTGACAGGTAAAAAAAGAAAAAAAGGTCAGCTTCCCCTGAAACAATTTGATGTTATTTTAGATGAGCTGGATCATCATGTCATCCAGAGTATAAATAACCTTTCACTCAAACTATGCAGCTTATCTGACTTCATTTTCGACCTGAAATGGTGATCTCTCCTGTCCCTCCACCCTTATAGGACAGTGAGAAATAACCCATAGTTCGTAACGTTCATACTTATGGATATTGAGGACACAATGTACACACACATGTAAAAAGATAGACAGACGGATGGATGGATGGATGGAAATGATACAGGTATGTAAAAGAAATTAGCTCATTCTATGGATATTAATAATCAACAATAAAGTTTTTTCTTAATTATTAATATTCCGGCTTAAGCTTCGGTCAATTTGGTCAAACAAACATGATTGTATATGATCCTGCCCGCTCAACCGAGCGGACTCTCAGATTATGAATATTAATTATCAACAATAGCGAATTAATATTAATCATTAACATTCTGGATTAATTTATTGTTAACTTGACCAAACAAACATAACCAGAGCCGCCGCTCTTCCGAGCGGACACGGTAATGATCTATTTATTTAGAAAAGGGAATTATTACTACTTCTTGGGTAGTAGATTAATAATTTATAAGCTTTAATCAACTTATAAAAGCTAGGCAGGGGAATCTGTCTTTCAGTGACTTTTTCTGTGAGGCAAACAATACAATTCGTTTGATTATAATGGGATTTATAGACTAGTCAGACGGATAACAAACAAATGCACGAACATGCATAAAACATAGAACAAAAGGTAAACCATGTGGAGATAGACTATACGGGTCTATAGAACATGTAACAAACAGAGAGAGATAGCAAAGCGCGGAAATAGAGATTTCAAATAAAGAGTGGCAAAATATCTTTCAGTTCCACACACACCATTAAGGATCACCAAAATTATATAAAACACCTTTTTGAAAAAAGGGGCACAGCTTATCCGCATAACTAAAAAAACCTGGACTTTAATGTCTGGAGGTCTCTCTCTTTATGCGAGTCTCTTCCTTGTCTGATGATTCCGGTGCTGTCCTTCTTGATGCGTGGAGTTTGCAATACAGGTTGGAGTAATGCGATCGCAACTTTAAACTGAGTTTATTTTGCCGGAAAATAAGAAAACGTGGGTTCGGAGCGAGCCACGCGGTATAAAGGAGCCGCTAGACCCCTTAACGGGGTGGCCTCCTTGAGCGGTTCTTTGCTCAGGCATTCTGACACGAGTCTGGGGAGGGGCAGCTTTTAAGGTTAAGCTCTGTGCCCCTGCCCTCTCAACATGATCGACCAATGATTTCAGGGCAAAGTTTAGGCGGGAAACTTCCTTTGTCTCGAGGCTGCTCATATGCAAATTTGATTGTCCGCCTAAAGCATGCGAAGAGACATTAATGCAGAGTATTAAAGAATGTAAGCAGTGCAAGTTATTATCATGCTCTACGCATCATGTGTTGTAAAATGTCAACAGCATCTCATCGGTACCCGACATGGACAGGTACATCAACAATAAAAGTACATCAACAATTCTCACACTTACATTATTTATCCACTAAAAAGGCCTAAATGAACCAAGCATACAGGTTATAAGATAGGTTGTACAGGTAGGAAAGGTCAGAAATGAGATACAAGGTTTGCAAGCATAACATTTTAGTTTTCTGCTGGTCCCTGATTTCTCAGCCCAATTTCTTTTTTTGGACTAGTGTCCTTGTGAGTGTGGGGGTGTGTGTGTTTGGGCAGAAATGTCTTTGAAGCTCACGGCCTATCTCTCTGGGTGGCTCTGGATAACGAAAGGTGTCACGGATACCCAGACTTCGTGGAGCCAGGAGTCGTAAAGCCCACGCAAGATACTCCTTGATAAAATCAATAAGTAATTTTATCTGTGGACTGTACGCTACAGGTAATTAAAAATCGATATGAACTGTGAGAAACCGACACGGCTAGCATTTAATTGGTTTTCTCATATATAGCATAATAATAACAACCTCAAAATGATCGAAGTAACTCGAAATGTAACATTTTAACCCCCTACATTGTTTAAGCCATTATCATGAACAATATAAGGGTCTGAAATCGCCGGTAAGACTGATAGCAACAGAGCACCACCAAGTAACTTCATTGACTGTAAACATGTCTCATATGCTAATATGATTTCTCCACTTTGACTTTCCAAAGAATTCTGCCTAAAATCATATTAAAATGGTCAAGGTCCGAATGTGTGAATATAAAAGCAAACTTGACCTCAGTGGAAAGGTGCCCATTTTCCATAATTAAATCGACAACAAACAACCAAACTGCGTTTTCAGCGACAGATTACAAAGTTTGTGAGCTACGCAGGCGATCTGTTTTACCAAAAAGTTTGGGCAAAATCTCATTTTATCAATTTAAAAGGTCAAAACAATTGTTTTACTTACCGAAATCAAATTACCTCAGGTCGACACGGTGGGCGGAGTCAATGGGTTTGATTGACAGCCTGAACGAGATTTACTAACAAGTTTTTTTTTTTTCAATGTTTTTGCCTAATCTATATTTGTTAAACAGACCGCCGTAAAAGGTGATCCACAGCATTGATTTATTCATGTAAAAAAAAAAAAAAAAGGCATGTCCTAGAGAACACAACACAGATCATTTTAATTGAGACCAAAGTTTTGCAGGATGTTTTGATGCTGACTGCGACCACAAGAGACCAACACAAGATGAGCAAGATCCAGGGTCTCAAAACCAATTCATGGAGGGCCGCAGCTCTGCACAGTTTTGCTCCATCCCCAATCTAACACAGCTAATGCAAACAATCAAAAGTGTTCACAGTTTTGAATTATTTGGATCAGCTGTGATTTAGTTTGGGCTGGAGCAAGAGTTTTGTTTATTTATTTATTTATTTTTTA